GTAAATATTTTCCTGTAGTGGACAGAATGACCGAAAATAAGACACTTTTTGGCATACAGTTACAGGAAAATGTAATGGCACTATAATGATCAAAGAGAAAAAACTACACTCATTAATACATTAAATAATTTGCGTAGGCAAAAAATAACGTCAGAATTAGAGAAAATAGGTCGCGATAAATGCTGAGCAAGTCCCTCTCCTCCCTCTCCTCCCTCTCCTCTCTCTCCTCTCTCTCCTCCCTCTCCTCCCTCTCCTCTCTCTCCTCCCTCCCCTCCCTCTCCTCCCTCTCCTCCTCTCCCTCCCTCTCCTCCCTCCCCTCCCTCTCCTCCCTCTCCTCCCTCTCCTCCCTCTCCTCCCTCCCCTCCCTCTCCTCCCTCCCCTCCCTCTCCTCCCTCTCCTCCCTCTCCTCCCTCCCCTCCCTCTCCTCCCTCTCCTCCCTCTCCTCCCTCCCCTCCCTCTCCTCCCTCTCCTCCCTCTCCTCCCTCCCCTCCCTCTCCTCCCTCTCCTCCCTCTCCTCCCTCTCCTCCCTCTCCTCTCCTCCCTCTCCTCCCTCCCCTCCCTCTCCTCCCTCTCCTCCCTCCCCTCCCTCTCCTCCCTCTCCTCCTCTCCTCCCTCCCTCCCTCTCCTCCCTCTCCTCCCTCCCTCCCTCTCCTCCCTCTCCTCTCTCCCCTCCCTCTCCTCCCTCTCCTCCCTCCCTCTCTCTCCTCGCTCTCCTCCCTCTCCTCCCTCTCCTCCCTCTCCTCCCTCTCCTCCCTCCCCTCCCTCCCTCTCCTCCTCTCCTCCCTCTCCTCCCTCCCCTCCCTCTCCTCCCTCTCCTCCCTCTCCTCCCTCTCCTCCCTCCCCTCCCTCTCCTCCCTCTCCTTCCTCTCCTCCCTCTCCTCCCTCCCCTCCCTCTCCTCCCTCCTCTCCCTCTCCTTCCTCTCCTCCCTCCCCTCCCTCTCCTCCCTCCCCTCCCTCTCCTCCTCTCCTCCCTCTCCTCCCTCCCTCCCTCTCCTCCCTCCTCTCCCTCTCCTTCCTCTCCTCCCTCCCCTCCCTCTCCTCCCTCTCCTTCCTCTCCTCCCTCTCCTCCCTCTCCTCCCTCTCCTCCCTCTCCTCCCTCTCCTCCCTCTCCTCCTCTCCTCCCTCTCCTCCTCCCTCCCTCCCTCCCTCCCCTCCCTCTCCTCCCTCTCCTCTCTCTCCTCTCTCTCCTCCTCCCTCCCTCTCCTCCCTCTCCTCCCTCTCCTCCCTCTCCTCCCTCCCTCCCTCTCCTCTCTCTCCTCCCTCCCCTCCCTCTCCTCCCTCTCCTCCCTCTCCTCCCTTCCTCCCTCCCCTCCCTCTCCTCCCTCTCCTCCCTCTCCTCCCTCTCCTCCCTCCCCTCCCTCTCCTCCCTCTCCTTCCTCTCCTCCCTCTCCTCCCTCTCCTCCCTCTCCTCCCTCCTCTCCCTCTCCTTCCTCTCCTCCCTCCCCTCCCTCCCCTCCCTCCCCTCCCTCTCCTCCCTCTCCTCTCTCTCCTCTCTCTCCTCCTTCTCCTCCTTCTCCTCCTTCTCCTCTCTCTCCTCCCTCTCCTCTCTCTCCTCCCTCTCCTCCCTCCCCTCCCTCTCCTCCCTCTCCTCTCTCTCCTCCCTCTCCTCTCTCTCCTCCCTCTCCTCTCTCTCCTCCCTCTCCTCCCTCTCCTCCTCTCCTCCTCTCCTCCCTCTCCTTCCTCTCCTCCTCTCCTCCTCTCCTCCCTCTCCTCCCTCTCCTCCCTCTCCTCCCTCTCCTCCCTCTCCTCCCTCTCCTCCCTCTCCTCCCTCTCCTCTCTCTCCTCTCTCTCCTCCCTCTCCTCCCTCTCCTCTCCTCTCCTCCCTCTCCTCTCTCTCCTCCCTCTCCTCCCTCCCCTCCCTCTCCTCCCTTCTCCTCTCTCCTCCCTCTCCTCTCTCTCCTCCCTCTCCTCCCTCCCTCCCTCTCCTCCTCTCCTCTCTCTCCTCCCTCTCCTCCCTCTCCTCCCTCTCCTCCCTCTCCTCCTCTCCTCCCTCTCCTCTCTCTCCTCCCTCTCCTCCTCTCCTCCCTCTCCTTCCTCTCCTCCCTCTCCTCCCTCTCCTCCCTCTCCTCCCTCTCCTCCCTCCCCTCCCTCTCCTCCCTCTCCTCCTCTCTCCTCTCCTCCTCCCTCCCCTCCCTCTCCTCCTCTCCTCTCTCTCCTCCCTCCCCTCCCTCTCCTTCCTCTCCTCTCTCTCTCCTCCCTCCCTCCCTCTCCTTCCTTTCCTCCCTCTCCTCCCTCTCCTCCCTCTCCTCCCTCTCCTCTCCTCTCCTCCCTCCCCTCCCTCTCCTTCCTCTCCTCCCTCTCCTCCCTCCCCTCCCTCTCCTCCCTCTCTTCCCTCTCCTCCCTCCCCTCCCTCTCCTTCCTCTCCTCCCTCCCCTCCCTCTCCTCCCTCTCCTTCCTCTCCTCCCTCTCCTCCCTCTCCTCCTCTCCTTCCTCTCCTCCCTCTCCTCCCTCCCCTCCCTCTCCTCCCTCCCCTCCCTCTCCTCCCTCTCCTCTCTCTCCTCCTCTCCTTCCTCTCCTCCTCTCCTCCCTCCCCTCCCTCTCCTCCCTCTCCTCCCTCTCCTCCCTCCCCTCCCTCTCCTTCCTCTCCTCCCTCCCCTCCCTCTCCTCCCTCTCCTTCCTCTCCTCCTCTCCTCCCTCTCCTCCCTCTCCTTCCTCTCCTCCCTCTCCTCCCTCCCCTCCCTCTCCTCCCTCCCCTCCCTCTCCTCCCTCTCCTCTCTCTCCTCCCTCTCTCCCTCTCCTCCCTCTCCTCCCTCTCCTCCCTCCCCTCCCTCTCCTTCCTCTCCTCCTCTCCCTCCCTCTCCTCCCTCTCCTTCCTCTCCTCCCTCCCCTCCCTCTCCTCCCTCTCCTCCCTCCCCTCCCTCTCCTCCCTCCCCTCCCTCTCCTCCCTCTCCTCTCTCTCCTCCCTCTCTCCCTCTCCTCCCTCCCTCCCTCTCCTCCCTCCCCTCCCTCTCCTTCCTCTCCTCCCTCTCCTCCCTCCCCTCCCTCTCCTCCTCTCTTCCTCTCCTCCCTCTCCTCCTCTCCTCCCTCCCCTCCCTCTCCTTCCTCTCCTCCCTCCCCTCCCTCTCCTCCCTCTCCTTCTCTCCTCCCTCTCCTCCCTCTCCTCCTCTCCTCCTCTCCTCCCTCTCCTCCCTCCCTCCCTCTCCTCCCTCCCCTCCTCTCCTCCCTCTCCTCCCTCCCCTCCCTCTCCTTCCTTCTCCTCCTCTCCTCCCTCTCCTCCCTCTCCTCCCTCCCCTCCCTCTCCTTCCTCTCCTCCTCTCCTTCCTCTCCTCCCTCTCCTCCCTCTCCTTCCCTCTCCTCCCTCTCCTCCCTCTCCTCCCTCCCCTCCCTCTCCTTCCTCTCCTCCTCTCCTCCCTCTCCTTCCCTCCCTCCCTCTCCTTCCTCTCCTCCCTCTCCTCCCTCTCCTCCCTCTCCTCCCTCTCCTCCCTCCCCTCCCTCTCCTTCCTCTCCTCCCTCTCCTCCCTCCCCTCCCTCTCCTTCCTCTCCTCCCTCCCTCTCCTCCCTCTCCTTCCTCTCCTCCCTCTCCTCCCTCTCCTCCCTCTCCTCCTCTCCTCCCTCCCCTCCCTCTCCCTCTCCTCCCTCTCCTTTCTCTCCCTCCCTCTCCTCCCTCTCTCCCTCTCCTCCCTCTCCTCCCTCTCCTCCCTCCCCTCCCTCCTCCTTCCTCTCCTCCCTCTCCTCCCTCTCCTTCCTCTCCTCCCTCTCCTCCCTCTCCTCCCTCTCCTCCCTCTCCTCCCTCCCCTCCCTCTCCTCCCTCTCCTTCCTCTCCTCCCTCCCCTCCTTCTCCTCCCTCCCCTCCCTCTCCTCCTCCCCTCCCTCTCCTCCCTCCCTCCCTCTCCTCCCTCCCCTCCCTCCCTCCCTCCCCTCCCTCTCCTCCCTCCCTCCCTCCCTCCTCCCCTCCCTCTCCTCCTCTCCTCCCTCCTCTCCCTCTCCTTCCTCTCCTCCCTCTCCTCCCTCCCCTCCCTCCCCTCCCTCCCCTCCCTCTCCTCCCTCTCCTCCCTCCCTCCCTCTCCTCCTCTCCTCCCTCCCCTCCTTCTCCTCCCTCCCCTCCCTCTCCTCCCTCCCCTCCCTCTCCTCCCTCCCCTCCCTCTCCTCCCTCTCCTCCATCTCCTCCGTCTCCTCCCTCTCCTCCCTCTCCTCCCTCCCCTCCCTCTCCTCCCTCTCCTCCCTCTCCTCCCTCTCCTCCCTCCCTCCTCTCCTCCCTCTCCTCCTCTCCTCCCTCCCTCCCTCTCCTCCCTCTCCTCCCTCTCCTCCTCTCCTCTCTCTCCTCCCTCCCCTCCCTCTCCTCCCTCTCCTCCCTCTCCTCCCTCTCCTCCCTCTCCTCCCTCTCCTCCTCTCCTCCCTCCCCTCCCTCTCCTCCCTCTCCTCCTCTCCTCCCTTCCTCCCTCCCCTCCCTCTCCTCCCTCTCCTCCCTCTCCTCCCTCTCCTCCCTCTCCTCCCTCTCCTCCCTCTCCTCCTCTCCTCCCTCTCCCCCCTCTCCTCCCTCTCCTCCCTCTCCTCCCTCTCCTCCCTCTCCTCCCTCCCCTCCCTCTCCTCCCTCCCCTCCCTCTCCTCCCTCTCCTCCTCTCCTCCTCTCCTCCCTCCCTCCCTCTCCTCCCTCTCCTCTCTCTCCTCCCTCTCCTCCTCCCTCTCCTCCCTCTCCTCCCTCCCCTCCCTCTCCTCCCTCTCCTCTCTCTCCTCTCTCTCCTCTCTCTCCTCCCTCTCCTCTCTCTCCTCCCTCTCCTCCCTCTCCTCCCTCTCCTCCCTCTCCTCCCTCTCCTTCCTCTCCTTCCTCTCCTCCCTCTCCTCCCTCCCCTCCCTCTCCTCCCTCCCCTCCCTCTCCTTCCTCTCCTCCCTCTCCTCCCTCCCCTCCCTCTCCTCTCTCTCCTCTCTCTCCTCCCTCTCCTCCCTCTCCTCTCTCTCCTCCCTCTCCTCTCTCTCCTCCCTCTCCTCCCTCCCTCCCTCTCCTCCCTCTCCTCTCTCTCTTCCCTCTCCTCTCTCTCCTCCCTCTCCTCCCTCTCCTCCCT